AAGGGGGGGGGGGGGGGGGGGGGGTGAATTTGAAATTCTAAATTATACTATTGGATTTTTAGAAAACCTTCTTAATTATTATTTCAAGTTAAATTTAAAGTTTAAAATAAACTTTTTAACTAGAGTAAATAACTTGCAGTAAAATTAAATGCGGAAGAATAGGGGGGGGTGAATTTGAAATTCTAAATTATACTATTGGATTTTTAGAAAACCTTCTTAATTATTATTTCAAGTTAAATTTAAAGTTTAAAATAAACTTTTTAACTAGAGTAAATAACTTGCAGTAAAATTAAATGCGGAAGAATAATAAGAAAGAACACACCAGATTTATAGTTGTTCGGTCAAACCTTGACCTACGTCCACTCTCCGGAGGCACCCTTCGAGTATTGCACTAAACTTCTAGTGACTCTCCTTTTGCCCCAACAGCAAGGTGGAGAAGCCTTTACAAAATCACTTCCACCTTCCCCGGTGCGGCGGAAGAGCCAGGTCCTTTGACACCAAAGAGATCTTCTTCTTCTCAAAACTTCCCTCAAGATGACCCTTGAATCTGATGGTACTGAGGTGCAAGCTCGTCAGAGCAATCATTTGAATATCCCCTCCACACTCCCTTGAATCCCCTCCAAGGATCTTCTCCCTCTCAAACTCCACCCTTTTCTCTCTCCCTTTCAAGTTCTCTCTTTAAGTTTTCTCCAAAAGAACGAAGACTCAATGGCTGCCAAAGATACACTAGTAATCCTTTTACACTCTCCAAGTGACGGTAGAGAACCAGACCGATGTTGTTGAACTTCACTTGAGATACTTCAGAGGAGATGGTCAGTAACTTGAAGGAAATAAAGAGATCATCACTTTGGGTAACCTTGTGAATCCCTCACAAACCCCTCACTTGATCTCTCACTCTTCACTCACAGAATCTCTCCCAAACACTCACACTCAATGACCCCTCTCAAGAGAAAACAACATCAAAGGCAATTATAATAGTTTCTAGGACTCCTTGTATAGAAAGGATAAGAAAAAAACCATCCAAAAACTAAAGATTTCAAGTTTTGAGCGCTCACGAACGTCCCATACAAACCTATGTTAGTACGTATGAACGGTTCAAAAACTGTTGCGTATGAACATGTTGTGAATCGGGATGAACACATTTTGTTCGGTACGAATAGAACAATTTCAAAGTTTGTATGTACGAATCGTCATGACAAAATGAACAAAAATAGAACAGAGAAGTTAGTCCTAGTACGATCAAAAAA